CCTCGACACCATTGTCATCACAGTACGGCTTCTCCAAATCATATCCCACCATGTAACTACAGTGCTTAGATCAGTAAAGGATGGTGTGGATGACCTAATACAGGGATTATCTCAACAGATGTGTAATCCTATGTTGGAATATGCCAAGGGCCTCAAGGATGATATGAAAAATGGAGCGTGCATGCGTTTATTGGCCATGGCGGATAAGATGGAAAAAGTGATGAAAGATGGCAGGGTTGAGTTGGAGGATGCAAGGAAGAAAGCGAGACTGGCTGAAGAGAGGAAGATTGAAGCACTATGCAAGCTGAAGGAAACAGCAGAAAGAGTGAGGAAATTGAAGGAACACCTGAACTCTCTTTCAGAAGCCAAAAGAGGACTCAGAGATTCTTCATTTTCAGAAAAGGTACATTCACTTCACTCGTTCATCCTTGATAAATGACCTATCCCTCTTTTCTCCTCTGTTCTACATCAATCCTTTGTTCTCGAGCATTTGAGCATTTGATTTGAATTGATTACTGCGCGTGTATGAAATGCATTGCTTTCGTGTTTTGTTTAGGAGTACTGATATGGTGTAGAAACAGGCACACAGAATCAGCGAAAGTTGATATCTGTTTTTCACTTGGGTAACACGAAGTGGTTTTGCTAGAAAACGTAATGAGAGGTGCTGGCTTTAGCCACTCCATCTGATCATTATGGAACTACTTTGTTTCACAAGGATAGAAAAAACTGTTGTTATTATTAATTTGCTACTGCAACAATAATTTATCGTTTTAAATGAGAAGGAAAACAAACTCCTTGGCTGTCTTTACAAACACGCACACACGCACACACACACAGCTCGTGTGCATGCTTTGTCGCTTCTTTGACATTATACTGAAATGAGTCAATAAGGAGTTGGAGATTCCAAGAATGACTCTTCATTCTAGCAACCAGTATTTGTCTCTCGTTTGTGCTGGAAAATTTTAAGAAAGCAAAAGGTTTGACTCATTAGTTTTTGCTTCAGATCTGAATGAATATCACAGAGACCACTAAACCTGTTATTGGAAAACATGATAAAAGGTATTGTATGTAGGTTTGTCGTTGTTCTGTGTTTTTCCTCCATCTCCATTTATTCATGTTCTGATAGGTCAGCTTAACTAAAGGAAAAACATATGAAAGCAATTCACTTGAAAACATTTTCTTTTCTTTTAGTATTTGACGGTTTTGCTGGGATATTAAGCATCTGGATGGAGTCTTGCTTTTGTGAGTTCTTGGAAACAGTTGATAATATCTTTCTTTTTCATCCCTGTGAAGTTCTCAGACATGGAGGAAGACCGAACAAAAGATGACAAGCTATTGTGGGGGATATTGAAGAAGAAAAGAAAATGTAAAGTACCAGAGAGCCCCTTGGGACCTGAAATGCTTTTGTATTTTGGTGCCACTAAGGATAACCATAAGCCCAAAGGGGTGAGGCCATTGTCCAATCACAGACCAGCCAGAAGGAGCTGTACAGCAGGGCTGAGTCCAAAAACTCCATTCTTGAATGTTCTGATTCCTTTGGGCTCATCACCTTCAGCGGTAAATCAACCAGTAACTTCATTGAGGTACACTGCTCACTGAATACTTTGCTTGAAGTTGTGGATTTGCTAGCTTTCATTGTCAATGGAGGGTTTTGCTTCCTTTTCAGTTAGCATGCCTGTTAGCCTTTTAACGGGCTTTGCACTATGGTGCCCTTTCTCAAATTGGAAGCAAATGCATGATTAAAATAGCAGAATAGTCCCTTAGTACTGGAAGAGTTCCTTGCTTGTTTAAAGTTCACATATGAGATTAGTTGTAGGCCATTGCATCCTGTTTGCAGAATGAGAGTGCACTCTATAGTGACACTCACAATGGTTACAACAGAGTGAAATACTGAAAAGAAACGAAGTATGGTTCCCTTTTATTGTAACTGTTTTCTACTCGTGCAGATCTTCTGCAAATCGTCCAAAAGTGCATTTCTTATCTTTCAAGCTTTTGATGGTTAGTCTTTCAGAGAAAAACACTCACAGAAGTTAGGAAGGTTCTTGGTCCAATTGGAGAACAGGCCTCAAAAACAATATTACGACGTAGTTAATTTGTTTCTCGATACTATTGCACCTGATGCTATATTTTGCCTTCCTATAGAAGCTACATGTTTAGTAATACGCAGGTGGGCGGTAGCCCACTCCATTTGCATAAATACTGAAAGGGTGACTTTTCAAGTTCTCAAGTTTGAGCTGCTTCTAGTCTATATGTCAACGAGGACATAAAAGTGAAGAATAAAGGAATGGAATATATATTGACCTAAACCCAATAACCTAACTTGTTATCAGAAGGAATATTAATCTCTTGGGAATCCAATCCTTGGATGTTGATGGATTGTCTCCTACTTGGTACCCATCAGGAGAGCCAGCACTCATCGATTCTCCGAGGAGAAGATGCATGACACGAAATTTTCACCTTCCTGTTTTGGTTAACCTGTTTTCTCCAAAAGCAGGTGCATGAATAGTGATAAACGTAACGGATCTAAGAAAACCTTATGATCCTCCTCCCTTGAACACACTCAAGGGACGGACCTACCTAACCCTAACCTTGGTGTACCTGGTGTGCCCAATGGGATGAGCATATCCCAGATGAGGGTCTGATAGTGTGCTAAGCTCAGCCACATGGAAACTTTGCCGTCTCCCAAGCTCTAGCATGTTGAGTCTAGCACTAGCTAAACACAAATATTATTGGGTTCGATAATATGTTAAACTCGAAAATGCTGGGTCTGGCAATAGCAATTCCCATAAGCTATTGAGCTTGGCAGTTTAAGCCCCAGGCACACCCATAGGAATGTACATCTCTCGAGTGGGGCTTGATAGTGATTACATATACTTTTAGAGTATCTTTCTCTTCAATATTTTTATATTTTTTCTCTCTAAAAAGATGTTTATACAAAAATTAGAGAGTACTCTCACCTCCACTAAGATAGATCTTTTGCAATTGCAAGATGTACTAAATATAAAGTGTAATTAAGTTATCAACTCTCAGCCACATGGAAACTTTGCCGTCTCCGAAGCTCTAGCATGTTGAGTATAGCACATGTCTCTTCAATTTTTTTATATTTTCTCTCTAAAAAGATGTTTATACAAAAATTAGAGAGTACTCTCACCTCCACTAAGATAGATTTTTTGCAATTACTAGTCGCAAGTCATCTTGATGTACTAAATATTAAGTGTAATTAAGTTATCAACTACTTTACTTAGGAAGAATTGTCGATTATCCAACTCGAAAATCCTATTCCTGAACTACTTATTTTTGGAACATCCTCAAGTTACATCTCAAGTCTTCCTCGTACCGATTACACAATCTAGTAGTGTATAATCTTCACCTCTCTTTGATTACCTAAACTGCAAGTGACAGTATAGTTTCGAAAATTATGAAGCAATGCTGAAAAATAGGCAAAGCTAGAGAACCAGGGGAAAGGTTATAACCTAGAAATTTCAAGGAGCACGAAGACTAAAACAACCCAGGGCCGACCATAGCTCCACATCACAGTGCTCAAACCAACCTGGCCAATCAGGTCAACTCGGGGACCCCACAATCCGACCCCTGGACGTATTGGGTTTTGTTTAACAAAAATTGAAGGTCTTTTAGACAAAAATATCATAGAACTGAATTAACCTATTAACAAAGTAGACTCATTTAAACTCATGACTCAAGTCTTAAAGACGGGTTATGCGTCGGCCGAGTCTCTTAACTATGCTCCATATGATGTAGAGATGAGACAAGAGAGACAAGATTTTCTTAAAAACGGTTTCCATTTTCTTCCCGCTTCAATCAGTCTGTTATTGTAATAGAAATGGGAAATGACTGTTCTTCACTTTCTTCTCCAAATGGAGACTTCAGATCCATTCTTTTCATATTGAATTCCATAATCAGCACCTATATGATTCACAAGGACAATCAAACACTATTTTACTATACTTTGAGAAAGTTCGATAGACTAAATATTCTACATGAGATATGATTTTATAAGGAAGTTTATTTTAGACCTCTGCTTGATGATTCAGATAATAGCTCTTCGTTGTAAGGGTAAAGAAATGGGATTTAAAAATGATTATAAAGTAATAATAGCATAAGTCAAGATAATTAATGCATGGTTTTGCACGCATCACCTAGCTAGATGATGTAGCTAGAGAAGAATTTGCTGCCGTCTCCATATATGCACGCCTAATTCTGATAGGCCGTTGCTGCTTGGAATTTGGAAGGGACAGTTGCCAGAAGAGAATGATAGAGATTTTGCTAACTGACAGTATTCGTCTTCATACATGTTTCTGCCTAAGAATTTGCAAATATGAGATTAATCCGTAGCTGGACAGGTTCGTTCAGATATTTGGAGAGATCAGATGCTTGTGCTAGTCAATTCAAAACCAAGATGGATAATTTGATATATTCTTTCAGCTATAGATTCCAAGTCTATAGTGTATAGGTTTGTAGTGGCCTCTTGTTTCCAGATTAATTTCACGAGACACATTGTATACATCAAGGTTGAATCCCCCTTAATCAATCTGTTGACTTTTGAAGAGGGAATAATTCAATTGAATATCTATCTATTATTTTCCAAAAGCTGGCAACTATATACTGCTTTTGCCAGTGGTTTTACAGAAAACCAACAGTAGACTATATATTTAAGTGGAAATTCATCAGTAAGCTAGGTACATATCAGATATGATATCCCTTCACTTTACAGGTATTAATTAAGATATGGTTATGTGCACATGAGATAATGTAGAACGATAAAGAAAATGCTGCTTTTGTAGGGATGATTCCACAAGAATTCAACAGCAAGTGGGCAAAACCAATCTATATAAACCCCATGAAGGCCTATATTTTGTTATAGCAACCGAGAATAGGGTTTCATGTATGGTACAACAATGGTTGGAGAAGCTCCCAATCTCCCTCAGAGGCTTCCAATATCTCAGTTTATAGTAATTTCTTCAAATAATGAGAATGTTGGATGCCTTTGGAGGAGATTGAGAGCTTACTCCCCACGTCTATATGGGATAGATTCAATAAATTTATAAAAATACAGTCCACGATTCCTTCTCACCAACCAGCTCTTTGCTTCTCTTTTCAAGGATTTTGAAGATCCAACTTCTTCTGAACTCTCTCCCTCAACTGCTACTCTAGAGCTTGGCAATCCTTGTCGATTGTTTCTGTGTAGTGGTTGAGGTGAGGGGTTCAGAACATGTTGGCTTCGATCAGCTTCGAACTCCAGGCCATTTGCTGTTAAAACCCGCTTTACAGGATTTTCTTGTTTCTTAATTATGTCTTGTTTTAAAATTGATCATAAAATAATGTACGTATAAAAACTGTGATTTCTTATTTTAAAAAAAAATTAGCATAGACATATCAAATATCTCATAGCTTGATTTTATCATTTTTTTATGCAACTTTATTATTAGATTTTAAATAATAGAAATTAATATTCAAAACTTTATCGACGCAAGAAAAAAAACGTATTTTTACCTTAATTTAAATTTTAGAATAAATATAAATATTTATGCATATTTTATTCTTTTTCTTGTATATTTTTTATGAAGAAAATAAAATTGACACAATTTAGTTATCCTTAATAAACATCTGAGATAAGGTCATATTGATATATGTAACACATAGTGGAATGAGAATAATATTATCTTAATTTTAATTTAATTTATTCATATATATATATATAGGTACTAAAGATTAATATTTTTTACGAACACTGAGTTCATTGTTATTATTTTTTTTACAAAAGAGTCCATGTGTAGATATGATACCTATATTACCCTCCATATATATTTTATAAATTACAATTCGGGTGGTTTTTATTTTCTTCTTCTTTGTTTTAGTTTGTTTAAACATACTTTTATCACCATTTTTTAAATATTAATTTAACCTTTACCACTAATAAAATAGTTTCTCACTGTAATCAATTTTTATTATATTGCCATTATTGTAAGATCTAATTATTATTATTATAAGAGTATTATAATAAAATTATGCGTAATTATAAATCTTAGTTTTAAAAAGGATTAATGATAATCTTAGTTTGTTTTTAGAAAACATAAACATCAAACTTTTTAAATATAACACAATAAGAAATTATCTGAAATCAAAACTTGAAAAATAAACTTTTTGCCCTTAGGAAGTATCATATAACCTATTCATCATTTGATTTTTGAAAATGAAATTATTTGTATTTTTTTCTAAAATAAAGTCAAATACCCATTTAACAGCACAAGTCAAAAGCAAGTACATAAATTATTAGCTAAAGTTTTCACAAATGATTTATGACTAAAAAAATCAAATTGGTGTGATGAACAGCAAAGTGCTCCTTCGCATCACCAGATAAATAAATAAATTAAAAAGAGCTCAACTTTTTATTATACACACATCCATATTTTATTGTTAATTTACATATGATAATTTCACCCCTATGAACAACCAATAAAGTGAAAAATAAATGATAAAATAATATTTTTTTATAAGATTTATTTAATATTATCAAAATGATTAGAGGTATATTGATATTTTTATTTTTTTAACACAAACAAATAACTTAATTATCTTTAAAAACATAAAAAAAAACTGGTGTTCAAAATCTCTTCAGTTTTTTTATTTTTTAAAATAAAATAATTAAAATACCTCTAAAACAAATTAACTAAACTAGCTTTGAATGATTTTTTTATATTCTCTTTATAGTTTTTTTGTTATAATTGAATGTACTTAGGGGCAATTTAGTGTGTGTAACACACACACACACACACATATATATATATATATATATATATATA